AACCTGATTAGATTTTAGATTCCAAAAGTACATACCATATATGCATGAACATGAAACTTTTTTTCACCTATCAAGCGAAGAACAGAGGAATTATTCGTGTGGCTAACAACACTGTGAGTAAGAATCTTGGCATGGGAATAGTACAGCTACAAATGGAAGATGGAAAAATTTCATGTTGGATGGAGTCCAACACATGCCGAGACTAAAGAAAAATCTAATTTCCTTAAGTATGCTAGACTTGAAGGGTTACAGCTTCTCATCTAGTAAAGGAAATCTCAAAGTTATCCATGAAGATACGGTGATGCTGCATGGGTAACTAGAGGGAAATCTGTACAGGCTTGTTCAAGAGATTGTGACAAAAGGAGCTACTATCACTTACCAGGAAAGAAGTACAAGACACACACCGAAAAGACATACGGCTCAGCAGACATGGAAACCAAAGTGTACAAGAATGCATGGAGGCAGTTCGAAGGTGCACAAAACGAAGCCATTGCAGCCAATTTGAAGAAAGCTCGGAGCAAAGAGACTAAGTCAGCAAAGCACGTCCCAAGGAAGAAAAGAGTTTCTTTTGCTCCTAAATTAGAGACATATTGTGATCTCTCCAAGACTGCATGGAAGGGAGAGATGCAATCACAAAGAGTTGCAAAGTAAGCTTTGCATAAAATCCCAGTGAGGGGGTAGAGGGCACTCCAGGCAAGGGGTGCCATTGTGGATCACCTCACATGGGTTGAGGGGGTAATTTGTTGGAGATCACCCTATGTGAGGGGTGATCATTTCCTCAATGTGAAGCCAGCTCCAGCCCACTATGGATAGTGGATGGCGGCTCTCCCACTCCACCTACCCCACTAGCTAGTGGATGAAGCTAGTGGAAGGTGTAAGTGGTGACCAATCAAAACACCTGTCATTTGTGTATAAATGAGGTGAAGAGGAGGAGCTGAAGTTTTGGGTGAAGAGAAGGCAGTGAGAGATTGTTGTGTAGAAAAACCAGAGAGTATAAGGCAGTAGAGAGTGTGTGAGTTGAATGAGTGCCTAATCCTCTATGTAATCTCTATTTGTTTTAATGAAAAACCAAAGAGTATAAGGCAGTAGAGAGTGCGTGAGTTGAATGAGTGCCTAGTCCTCTATGTAATCTCTATTTGTTTTAGTGAAAATCTCCGGTTCTCTCTATGGATGTAAGCATTGAGGCCGAATCACGTAAATCTTGTGTCCATTATTGTGTGTTTGATTTCTGGTAGTTCAGGTGGGTTGCCTTAAATCCCAACAGATGGAGATATGGCCGAAATGTATCTCATACTCATTTGGGTCATCAGTGAGAAACTGGGATAAGAAGAGACAAGAGTGGCTGAAGTGCCACCCATCGTTCATCACCGCGCGCGACGGCGTAGTGGTGGTGACTGAAAGTCAGCCGCTGCCGTGCAAGAACCCAATCGGTGATCACTTGTTGATTCAATTGTTCAAGAACAAGGTCGATTACTGTCGAATCCACGGCTATGAAATTTGTTTACAACAATGCATTTCTACACCCAAAAATGGTCGGTGTTTGGACGAATCTCCCACCAGTTAGAGCGGCGATGGTGGCGCATTCGGAGGTAGAGTGGATCTGATGGGTGGACTCGGACGCAATAATCACCGACATGGAATTCAAGCTCCCAATGAAAAAGTATGAAAGCTACAATTTCATCATCAATGGTTGGGAAAACATGATTTACAAGAGAAAAAATCAGTTCGCAATGAAAATGGTAGTTGGATGAGAGAGATATGAGAGCAATAGGGTTCTCAGCAACGGAACCAAGATAGAGAATGATGACAAACAGAGAGATAAAGAGAGGGAGAGAGTTTGGGTTGTAGCGTGAGTGCTCCTCAACATAGATACAGAGGGTCGGATGAAGTCGTCGGGCGATAGTGCTGAGAAAGAGGAGTGTAGGTATGTGTAGAAAACTCCAGCGGGCAGCGAAGGCAAGGTTGCCAGCCGACTGCCCGCCAGTGAGAAAGAAATACAGGCCTAAATCTTATAACTCTGATACCATGTAAAACAAGTTGAGAGAGAGAGAGAGAGAGAGAATTCTCTGTGAAAATATATTGTGTTGAATTAATGTACATGGTCTCTTTTATATAGAAGAGCTTATAGACAATTTACAAACAACATTATGACCTAAAGTGGAAAGTGGCCGAAAGGGTAAAGGCTAAAGCATACACACCAACTATCTATATATATATATATATATATTTAAATCTATCTAGATATACATACATTAACAATCATCATCATCATCATCATCTTCTTCTACTATTATTTCTAGATCTGCACATGGAGTCCAACTGTTCATGCAAAGCCAGTGAAAAAGAAATAAAGGCCTAAATCTTATAACTTTGATACCATGTAAAACAAGTTGAGAGAGAGAGAGAATTCTCTGTGACAATATATTGTGTTGAATTAATGTACATGATCTCCTTTATATATGAGAGCTTATAGACAATTTACAAACAACATTATGACCTAAAGTGGAAAGTGGCCGAAAGGGTAAAGGCTAAAGCATACACACTAACTATCTATATATATATACATTAACAATCATCATCATCATCATCTTCTTCTTCTTCTATTATTTCTGGATCTGCACATGGAGTCCAACTGTTCATGCAATTCCATTTCTACTTTGCAAATGCTCTCCAAATTTCCAACAATATTATTGTTACCTCTTGTTAGACAATTTCATTATTTGGTTGTAATTATCTTCATTTTGTAAAATGATCCGTAATATTTTAATTCATCAAATTTCCACCCCACCAAACTAATTATAATATAATCAGAAATCAGAATGGTTCATGACTTTCACTTTATGTCTATTATAAATTTATCATCTATATAGTTTATCCCAAACTGATATAATTCACCTCACAACTATTGTGACGATAAGAAGTGTACATAATAACATTTTTCAGAAGAATTTGATTGCTTGCCCTATAACACTTCTCTATTTCTGTTATGCATCTCACAATTTTTCATTGTTCTTTTGTGATGTAGATAGATTATTGCTTGCTTCCTCTCTTGGCCACCTGTTGCGGAGAAGGTTGGCCAAAGTGGAGTCTGCTTGGTTGCCACTCTTAATTAGAGGTGGCTAAATTATGTAGTCACTGATCGTCTTGATTATTTTAGTTGATTTTTTAATTTTTTTATTAAAAGATATATAAAAAAGTAAAGAGAATGATGTGATAATTTGTAAAGACTTTTTAGCTAAAAATCAAATTATAAAAAAAAAAATTTGTTGAAAACTTTAATTTTAAAAAAGCCAAATAAAATATGACTTTTTTTATGTTTAGCCTTATGACCGAAAAAAATTGAACTATTATTGCTCTCAACCACACATAGGATTTTTTATTTTTTTTAAATTCTTGTCTCTATCTTAATACATTTTCAGGTGCACAATTATCATGAGTTTTTTGTGTTTCGATATTCATGCCATATCATACCATTAAAAATGAAATGGGATAAAGAGATCGAGATTTAGACACACAGAACTCTTGACCGCTCTACGACTATCAATCTCACAAGAATGAAATGAGGGGATACAGAACCATCATCCATCATGTGTCGAGTTTGATTTTGTTCATTCACTTAAAAAAAAATTAAATATTACCCTCAGCCTATTATGAGTAATGTTAGAAACATCAAAAAATTTATCAATTTTCTATCAAATGTCTTACATGGGTGTGAGACCTGCATGGTGTGAATCTCACACTCATATGAAACATTTGGTAGAAAATTTGATAAAACTTTTTAACAATTTTCTTTTCATAACATATGTGTAGGGGTGCAACTCAGGCGGGTTCGGGTTGGAAGGTTATTCAAGCCCAACTCAAGTTGTGCTGAGACCTGTCCAAACCTGCCCAAGCTCGAATTGTAACCTAAGGTTGTCTGCCCAAGCCCGACCCGAGTTAAATCCGAATTGTCCGAGTTGTAAATGAATTTTAGTTTTTTTTTTTTTTTTTTTGGCTACATTATTAAATTATTAAAATTTGACTCTATTTACAATTTATTATTATTATTATTATTTTTATAGAAAATCATTAATAGCATCAAAACAAATAATTTATATAATGTAAGAGAGATGCCACTATAATAGTCCTTATAATTTATGAGTGAAAATAAAAAGAAAAAAAAAAGATTTTATGTTATTTGTATATATAATATATATTTAATATGATTTAATAATATAAATTACTTTAATATCATATAATGACTAATAATTTATTTGTATATTTAATATTTTTATATATCTATATATGTAATTCGGATTTCAGGTTGCTCGGGTTGTTTGACGTCTTTGCCCAAGTCTATCCAAATTTAATTCTGGATTCTGAATTTTTGTCTAAACCCGTACCGAATTTGAAAATATTTTATCCAAACTCTAAAAAAATTCAAGTTAAGCATAAGATTTTATGTTATTTGTATATATAATATATATTTAATATGATTTAATAATATAAATTACTTTAATATCATATAATGACTAATAATTTATTTGTATATTTAATATTTTTATATATCTATATATGTAATTCGGATTTCAGGTTACTCGGGTTGTTTGACGTCTTTGCCCAAGCCTATCCAAATTTAATTCTGGATTCTGAATTTTTGTCTAAACTCGTACCGAATTTGAAAATATTTTATCTAAACCCTAAAAAAATTCAAGTTAAGCTCAGATGGCTCAAGTTGAGCCCGCCCAAATTGCATTCCTACATATGTGGAAGGGAGTTAAACGGAGGATAGTGTCATAAAGAATGGAGTTAAAAGGAGGATAGAGAATCAAAGCTTAGTTTTTATTTATGATAAAGAGTGGGACCAATAATTGCAACACCCTACAAACAAAGCTTGGAATCTACCTCACGTCAACAATTCATCTACCAAAATTTACTATCCTCAGTTCTCCTTGTAAGTCAACTTTTTAGAGAAGCAAAGAAATCTAATTTATTTATTGAGTGTGGCCTTTCTAAGAAGGTCCTTATTCATATTCATTTCTTTAATTGCCGTGATTCCTCTGTAATTCTAGAATATGCACATCTTGCTTGTGTTCACAGCCAACTTTTGAGGGCACCAAAATGGGGTAATTTTTATACTTGCATTCAATGTGAACTCTTCATTACTTATATTATACATTAGAAAGAGAACAAGTTTATCATGGTAGGTCATTGCACTTGTATTTCAATGTTTTGAGAAAAAAAGAATATAAAAGCAAAGAGAGAAAGACCATCTTTGAGAAATGGGTTTTTGCAGAGGATTGTTGAGAATGTCTTTTTTGGGGTTTGTTTGGTTTCTTGGTTTTGTGTTGATTTTGGATAGTGGGGGGGTTCAAGGTTGGAGCAAAGAGGGTCATATTATGACATGCCAAATTGCTCAGGTATGATCCCTTCCCTTCCCTTCCCTTGGATGTATCAAAGAGAATAGAATTCTAGGTCTGTTTGGAACTGTTTTCCTTTTCTTCATTCCCCTTTTTTTGTGTTTTTAAAAACAAAACAATAAAAAGTTTGAAAACATACATCGTTTTCATGTTGTTTCATTTTGAAAGAGTTTAGGAATACAAAAATTGATTATAGAATTGAGTACAATCATCTCACATGAGATGAGTATTATCTTTTTGTGGGTCTCACACTCATATGAAAAACTTGTTTTACTTTTGTGCAAGTAAAATGATTGTTTCATTTTTGTTTGATAATAATTTTTAAAAAAATAAAAAACAACTTTGCCGCGTTTCCTAGAATGTTGTTTTTTTTTAAAAAAAAATTTAAAAAAAAAGGAAAAAACAAATTTGAAGTATTTTTTCAAATAATTTTCTTTGTTTTTTAAAAAATATAAAAACATAAAATGAAGGCAAACTATACAGATGGACCTACGATTTGATTCATCTCAGTAAGAGGATTTTAGAACATATGACTCATAAGATAGCTTGAAAATATTCCCTTGGTTTGCTTCAGGTTGAGATTTATTAAGTGAAAGAAACGTCTACTCATTGTTAATTACATGCTACTAAACCTATTTTGAGTATACTAGAAGAGAAACATTAATGAAACAAAACTATACCTCAAGCAATCTCAATGTAAACTGGATTTCTCTCTCTCACACTCACACTCACACTCACACTCACACTCATATTTTGGTTAGGTGGTTAGGTGCCTTCTCTTAATAAATCAACCCAACTCACAAGATAGCCTAAAAGCATCCTCTCTGTTTTTGGCCAGAAATCCACATCTTCATTTTCAATCTATGGAATTGTAATATGCCATCAAAATACGAAGTTATAAATTATCACATCACTATAAATTTTAAAATTACATAACAATTTTTTGATTAAGATAAAGGAGATCTCCATTGTACATGGCCAACTCAAAGATGAGGCCTAAGAAATTAATAGGCTATTTTTTTTAATATCTAAATAGTATTTATAATTTTTTTTTAATATTGTAAATTATTTTATGTAAAATTCACTTTTTTCTTGGAGTCTTGCAGCTAAAAATTCTAGAAATTATTTACAGATTTTACTATTAGAGGCCGTCAGAAAATGAGTTGGGCCTCTAACTAAAAACCCATTTCAGTTGGGCCTTCGAGTAAGAAATTTGTTTTTGTCTCTTTGGTTTTGGAAAGTAAAATTTTTTTTCATCAACCTTTGCGATTTAGAGTCAGTAGACAGAAATAATTTTTTGTATTAATAGTTCTACACATGGAATGGATCACATATCACGCACACAAACAAGTGATTTGTTTATGTAAAACCAGTGTTTTTTTTTTTTTTTTTTTTTTGATGTTATGGGCCACTTGGTGTTATGGGCCACTGAATAAAGAGGGATTTTATTTAATCTGTATGGTTGAGGATCCTTTTTTGGGTAAAGAGGCTTTTTGTTTTGACTGGGTCTTGACATATGAAATTTTTTGTATATCTATAGATAATAAAAGTATTTTTTTAGTTGATCAAATTAAAAAGGAGATTTTTTTTATTTGTAGTCTTTGTTTTTAAATAAAATATTTATGAGTTTTTGAACAAATACAAATAAATTTGAGGTCTCTTTCAAATTGGGGTCTAAAGCAACTACATCATGGCTTACGCCTTTGGCCGGCCTTGCCATTTACTTTTGTGAATTAGATCGTTTAATTAGGCGTGAACTCATCACAGACTCTATTCTAATGATGATTTGATTTGTTTATTTTAAAATAAAATTGAAAGTGTAAGTAACTTGATGATTAAACAGGAGCTTTTGGAACCAGAGGCAGCACATGCTGTAAAAATGTTGTTACCAGAGAATGTGAATGGGGATTTGTCAGCACTGTGTGTGTGGCCTGATCAAATAAGACACTGGTACAAGTATAGGTGGACAAGCTCACTTCATTTCATTGACACCCCTGATGAAGCTTGCAACTTTGACTATGACAGTAATATGCTCAATTTATGCTTCATATAGTTGCTTCTCATATAAACCTTTAATTTTATAAAATTGCTACAAACACCCATTTTGTTTTTTTCCCAAAAAACAAAAGTGTACTGTCCTAATGGAGTGAGCCTCGTCCGGGGTGGAATTCTTTGTCTTTAAAATTCTTGGCCTATGTCCCTTATGTATTTTTAATCGCATGATGAAGTGAAAATTTTTACACATGAAAATCTCGAAATAAGATCGAGAGTGCAATACAGAGGAGGTGGAGGTAGAGGTAGTGGTAGTGGTGATAGTGTGGTGGCATTAATAAGATTTCAGTTTGAAAAACGTTTTCTACTATTCAAAAGTGTAATAAGTCTTATGTGTGGCCTGATCAAATAAGACACTGGTACAAGTATAGGTGGACAAGCTCACTTCATTTCATTGACACCCCTGATGAAGCTTGCAACTTTGACTATGACAGTAATATGCTCAATTTATGCTTCATATAGTTGCTTCTCATATAAACCTTTAATTTTATAAAATTGCTACAAACACCCATTTTGTTTTTTTCCCAAAAAACAAAAGTGTACTGTCCTAATGGAGTGAGCCTCGTCCGGGTTGGAATTCTTTGTCTTTAAAATTCTTGGCCTATGTCCCTCATGTATTTTTAATCGCATGATGAAGTGAAAATTTTTACACATGGAAATCTCGAAATAAGATTGTGAGTGCAATAGAGAGGAGGTGGAGGTAGTGGTAGTGGTGATAGTGTGGTGGTATTAATAAGATTTCAGTTTGAAAAACGTTTTCTACTATTCAAAAGTGTAAAAAGTCTTAAATCCAAATAAATTTGTTTTCTGTTGATTATAAAGAACTTTATTTATTTATTTATTGATTTTCATCTTTCATCATATCAAATATTAGAAAATGCAAAAAATATTAAAAAGTGTAGGAACAAGGAGAAGGATTTTGATCATTCCAAAAAAAAAAAAGGACAGGGATTTTGAAACAAGGAATCTTGTACTCCATCCTAGATAAATAAATTTTGTATATATATATTGATTAAATTCATGTGTACCTATAGTTAGTCAAAGTGTTATCAACTTAATTGAAGCATTAATAATTAATTACTGAAACATGGGAAATATATAGGGGATTGTCATGATCCTCATGGGGTGAAGGACATGTGTGTTGCTGGTGCCATCCAAAATTTTACCTCTCAACTCTCACATTACAGAGAGGGTACTTCTGATCGTCGATGTAAGCTAAGCTATATCAACTTCCTTGATTTTTTTATTTTATTTTACTTGGTATATATATGTCTCTGACTCATGTATTGTTATCTTCAATGTTTTTAAATTTAAAATTTCTTTTTTTTAAATTCTTTTGGTGCAGATAATATGACTGAGGCCTTGTTATTCTTGTCACACTTCATGGGTGATATTCATCAGGTTTGTGGTGCTGGTTCCATCCAAATTACTTGTTTGAATAGCTTAATGAGAGAGAAATTGAGATAAAAGAGTATTGTTTTAATTATTTATTTCTTCTTAAAACTCATCCGAATTCAATTTTTTGAATCTCTCTAAATTAAAGATCAACGAATATTAATCTAGTGAGTGATGGTTCTTTTACTAGGCGCTTTTTCACCAATATTTAAAATCATAAAAAGTCTCATTTAAAAATATGACTTTGTTTCAAAACGGCCCATGATACTTGGGTTTGAGTCTAACTGTCACGCAATGCAACTTTCCCTTCCCATATTCCCCTTTTACCTATGTTGAAAATATATGTAAATCTAAAATTGGAGAGATTATAGAAAAATAAGATGAATTTTATTATTACTAATATTGTTCTTTGTCTTACTTACATTGTAAAGCCTTTTTTTGAAGGGGGGGTGGGTTTGAGTCTAACTGTCACGCAATGCAACTTTTCCTTCCCATATTCCCCTTTTACCTATGTTGAAAATATATAATTTTAAAATTGGAAACAATTCAAAATAATTTACTTTCATTGAAGTGCAAGAAAGAGTTGTATCCATATCACAACTTTCACTGCATACAGATCCACTTGCACCTCTATTTTTCTTTCTTTCTTTCTTTCTTTTTTTAGTTAGTTATTTTGAATTCCTTTTAGGCCATGTTTGTTTGGATGGACATAAGTTTGGGATTGGACTAATAGTCCAATAAAATTATTAATCCGATATTTGGTTAAACAATTGAAGTACGGACTAATTATTTTAAACTTGACTATTAGTTAATAGGATACATAATCCAACGGATTCGTAATATAGGACTATTAGTCATGGGAATGCTAATCCAGTCCGCCCAAACAAACATGAATTTACTTTCATTGAAGTGCAAGAAAGAGTTGTATCCATATCACAACTTTCACTGCATACAGATCCACTTGCACCTCTATTTTTCTTTCTTTCTTTCTTTCTTTTTTTAGTTAGTTATTTTGAATTCCTTTTACTGCTTTGCAATTCTTCGTAATTTCTTTATTTTCTATCCTTTCCCAGCCATGGGAGAGGATAACTAACTCTCATCTTTCCCTGTTTATTTCTTTCATAAATTATTATATTCTAGCAGAAGGAAAACTACACCATCACTTTTCTTATTGTTAATGTTTCAGCCATTGCATGTTGGATTTACAAGTGATGAAGGAGGAAACACCATACAATTGCGCTGGTTCAGGCACAAATCTAATTTGCACCATGTGAGTTTATGTTTGCCTATACTTGTTTTATATACTCCATGGTTAGGGTTTGTTAATGGCTACTTACCACAACATGCGGATTTTGTATTAGTGGAAAAATTGAGTGAGAAAGTTTTTTTTTTTTTGTTTTTTCCACTAATATAATTCATTGTCAAATAGATCTTTTTTTTTTTTTTTTTTGTGTGCACGTAACCAAAATAACCAAAAAGTGGCTAGTCAAAATCAAGTAAGGGTTAAAAAAAAGGTAAATTACACTAACTTCTAAGATTAAATGAAATTGTAAAAATCTCTTCTGAGATTTTTGAAATGACAAAAAGTTTCCTTGAGGTTTAGTTTAGTTTTAAATTACAAATTTGATGAAATTTCCGATATCTCCCCTTAGATTGTGTTTAGTTCGAGAATTTGATGAGAGAAATGGAAAGTGAAAAAGAAATGCAGTCACACTTTTTGTTTTTGGGCTCACCTATGCTCTTTTCTTTTTTCATGTCCTAACTCAACCAAACATAACTTGGAATTTGAATCTTATCAATTCTTTGTTATTTTCTTTCTATTTCCCTTTTCCATTTACATTTTCTCTAATTAAAATCCTCCAACCAAACACAGTTTGAGAATTTCAGAATGATAGAAACCTAGTTTTAAATTACACTGATTATTCTTGAGTGACTATTCTTGTATATTCAAATTCAATTACTCAAAACAGCAATTTTCTTATAAATTGATAGCTTCCTCAAGATTTTAATTACCAATCTTTGCAACACATATAGGTTTGGGATAGAGAGATCATCCTTACAGCTGCTACAGATTATTATGGAAAGGACATGGACCTCCTCGAACAAGACATAGAGGGCAACTTCACTGACGTATGACTGCCCTAAAATGCTACTTTTGCTTGCAAAATTGGAATTTTTTTTATATGTATATATATATATATATATATATTTTGGATTTGCTCTTGGAATTTTTTTTTTATATATATATATTTTTTTTTGGATTTGTAGCAATTTGTCAACATTTCAAAAAATACTTACTTTGTTAGAATCTTCAATTTGTGAAAAAAAAATTTAAGACTTTTTTTTTTTCTTGAAAAATTTAAAATTCAAACATATATGCTACACAGGGAATCTGGCATGATGATGTTGCATCGTGGAAGGAGTGTGGCAATATCTTTACTTGTGTGAATAAGTGAGCCCTCTCTCTTTCTCTCTCTCTGTGCAACTAAAACTATGACTCTTTATTATAATTTTTTTTTTTTTTTTAAAATATGTTTCTCATTTATTCTTTGCACAGGTGGGCTGCGGAGAGCATAACCATCGCTTGCAAATGGGGTTACAAAGGTGTTGAGTCTGGTATGACACTAAATGGTATGTACACGAGTTCATATTTTCTAGGAAAAGCTTACTATACATCATACACCCTTGTAGAAGTTGCATATTATATGTATTCTCACCTTAAATTGTTGGATTAAAAAAAATAAATTTGATCTATCAATTATAGTAATATTGAGTCATAACTTACACTAATTTAGGTTATAATGAAAGACACTTTGATCCTAACCAAAACCATAATGAGTTGTAATAGACTTACTTTGAAGCATAACCAAACATTGTAATAGGACATAACCAACTTTTATTTTATAATTTGCTGATCCCACTACCACAATGATCGATAACCAAACATCACAATGGTTTGTAACCAACATCAATTTTGACCTTAACTTGCATATAACATTCACTATGTGTGTTGTAATATGACCCTATCTTTTACGGTTGTTCTAGCAAAAATTATACAAAATATAATTACCAGAAATACTAGAGATCCTTAAAATATGATCTTAATGATGTGTAGGAATTTGGCTCTTGGCTAGTTGTAGATGTGGTTGAATTTTACTTATTCATTTTAAAATAAAACACGTATAATATTTACTTTTAAAAATATCATCATCAAAATTTTTTATATTTTTTTATATAATTTTATGTAAGAATAATTTTTTTCCCTAATATATATGTGTTTTTACAGATGACTACTTCAATTCAAGGCTGCCAATTGTCATGAAACGAATTGCCCAAGGTGGAGTCCGATTAGCCATGGTTTTAAACCGGGTTTTCGGTGCGTCGGATGAGGATATGGTGTCAGCAACTTGATTAGCCAAGCCAATTAACTCGAAGACTAAATAAATTCTACCCAAAAAAAAATCATACAAAATTTTTCTCCAGAATAATGTGGTAGTCTTGGGTCACATAAGTTTTAAGATAAAGTTTATCAAAATAATTTCTATTTTTTAAAATGTCATTACCATATCATTTCAGTATTAAATTTTGTATAAAATTGATGTTTGTGGAATATTTTTTTTCTACAAATTTTTTACATTCCAACTCCTAGGCTTGACTTAGGATTATTTATCTAAATAATGTATAACAAGTTTTACCATTTTGACTTTATATTCTCAAGTTTATGTGGATTGTATTATTGATCCAAATGAATAATAATGACCAACATGCAACTCCTAAACTCTAGATGTTGCAATTCATGATTAGTAATTGCAAGGAGCAATTGTGTTTCAATTAGTGGACCAAACTAAACACAAAACAAATTTTGTAAAGTGGACTTACCAATATATCTTGTTGATTCAAATATTTTGTTTTGTTTTATTCATTTATTTAATTTTTTTAGTTACATTTTTTTCCCCTCCACATGCTGAACAAACATCTGTAGGGCTTCATGTGTTTTTGTTTGGGAAAACATCAGAATCAACCATTTGAAAGAAGCCATGAAATGTCCATTCAATCATGGATTCAAACCATATCGAAAATTACAATTTTTCTAGAGTGGTTTTACTCCATATGAATCACAAAATAGTCATGTTACAAATTCAGAATGTTTATCCATAAATTTATCTAGAATTATCAATAAATAGTTTAGTATAATTTTTTTTTTTTTAAACTCCTTCATATTTTCCAAAATAATGAAATCAGTATACAAGGGCGGACCTAGGGCTGGGCATAGGTGGCTGCAGCCCAGCCCAAAATTTAAAAAATCCGTAGAAATTTTTTTTCCCAGCCCAGTCCAGCCTCCCAGTCTCTCCCAGGCCACCCTCGCTCCAAATAAGGGCCAATAGTTTTTTTTTGTTTATTTTTTAGATGGGCTGCCAATAGCAGCTCAATACTTACCCAAAAAAATAGATAGACATCCCAATAGATTTGTATTTGTTTAATTAACAAATCTTCCAAAATAATCTTCACATCTTCCAATAGATAGACATCGGCCCTCTCCTTCATCTCAAGCAGCCTGCTGCAACTCTACTTTCCTAACATTTTTGGTAAGCGTAATTAACTAATTATTTTATTTCGTTGGTTGATAATGGATTTGATTAAAAATGATTTTGAAATTTTGTCTTTATGCAACAAATATTATATTGCTTTTAGTTTTTTTATGATATTACCTTGTTCAATGTTCTATATTGCTCTTACTTTTTGAACTTTGAAAGAGTTTTTTTGGACATATATAAAAAAAAAAAAATGAAAGCTTAAATAAAAATTATTGAGGATGTATCTAGAAACCCTAATATTTGAAATTATTGCGAATAAACTCTAGCTTAATATTAAATAGGGCTAAATTGTTTTTTTTAATTTTTTTTAGGTTATAAATAATGGAACTCCCACACTCAAAAAAAAGAAAAATCCTTTTTTTCATTCTATCAATCAAAACAAAAGTCTAGTAGTACAACATCCAATGTTGTTGAAACCTCATTTTCTGATGTACAGCGGCCTTCCATGCCTCAAGCAAATAAACCAAGCAAATTTGATTCAACTAATATTGAACGGGATCCTGGTTTATGCTTGCAAATTTGTGAATATCTAGTTAATCAACGTGATGAGATTAGACGAGCTTATGTGAACTTGGGGCCTTATCAACCTAAACTTGAGTATCTTAGGTCCTCATTTGGAAAGCAGAATTGTCGATTTCAACATATTTGGTTAAAATAATTTCTTGACTAGAGTATTCTTCATCAAAGGATAAAGCATATTGTTTTTCATACTTTTTAAAAATTGATCTAGATTCTGTAATCGATGAATTCGAATCTTTAAAGATACGTCAAGCACAACTTAGTTAGATTGTTTCTAATCAATAAATTTAGGTATTAATCTAGATTATATTATTAAATTCTCTTTTTTCTTATGTGGTTATACTTAAAATATATTGTATAATTTTACCTTAATATTAACTCACTCCATTAATGAATCCTGAGTCCGCCCTTATCCGTATATATTAAAAATAATATGAAAAAAAAAAGATTCCCTAGGACCCATACGTACTTCCCCTTAATCTTTAGGAGATCGAAACTTGAAACTATGATTTAGGCAACTTTTTTTTTGGGGGGGTTGAAACTGGAATTTATGTTTGCGATCTTTCTCTTACAAGTTCTTTTTTCATACCAACTCGTATGCTTAATTTAGACATGTTTGGTATAATTTTTTATATATTGAAAATTAATAATTAGAAAATAGAAATTAAAAGCATCCTTTCCCAACATCCCAATAATCACTTCTTCTATTCTTTTTTTTTACGTTTATTTAAGTTATTTTGTCTCATAAATTGTATGCAAAAATTGCACCAAACACTCTAGCAAAGACTTTAAATAAAAATCTATCTGCAGTTTCTATACACATATATATATATAAAAAAAAAAAAAAAGATTTTATTTCACCTATACAATTTTCTATAAATTGCACCAAACAGGGCCTTAAAATTCTATTATTGATCCAAATCAATAACAATGACTAACATGCAACTCCCAAACTCTTCATGTTGCAGTTCATGACTAGTAAGCAATTGTGTTTGAATTTTGAATTTATAAAAAAAAATTAAAATTAAAATTGTGAGAAAAAGAAGATGAAAAAGTATATGAATTGAAAGCTATTTCTTTGATAAGTCGAAGAACATAGAAACAAAACAAATAAATGGATGAAAGGACCTTACTAACAAATCTTTTAAGATCTTATCAATTTATACACTTTATGTATCCAATTATGTAATTATTTTTCTGCCTTCCTAACAAAACAATTATAAAAAACAAAAGGATGAATTACACTCACATACCTAATACCAAACCAAGCCTTAAGTCCCATCAAATGGGGTCGACTACATGAATCCTTCTTCTCCACGCGGTCATATCAAAAGCCATTTCATTAATCAAGTTAAGTAGATTTATATTTCTATTTATAACGCTAGTCAACGTTAATCTAGGCCTACCTTGTCCCCTAATACTTCCATCTACTGTTACAGCATCGCATCTCTTCACTACTGCCTCTGTTGGTCTCCGTTGAATATGACAAAACCATCTCAAACGATTCTCTCTCAACTTATCTTCTATCGGTGCTACTCCTACCCATTCCCGAATACACTCATTCCTAATCCTGTCTTGTCTAGTTTTACCACACATCCACCTTAGCATTCTCATCTCAGTCACACTCATCTTATCTACATGTTGTTTCTTGGTTGCCCAACACTTTGTCCCATACAACATTGCTGGTCTAATAGTCGTTCTATAAAACTTACCTTTTAGTCTAGTGGGTATTTGTTTATCGCACAATACCCCAGACACACTTCTCCACTTACACCATCTCGCCTTAATCCTATGGGCCACATATGTATCAATCTCTTCCGCTATTGTGATAATCGACCCTAAATAGCGAAAATGTTTACTCTTAGGCAATTCTTGGTTTTCAATCTTCACTTCTCCTCTGCTTTTATTGTTACTATTACTAAATTTACACTCCATGTACTCTATCTTAGTTCTGCTTATCCGGAATCCTTTAAATTCAAGAGCTTTTCTCCAAATCTCCAACTTTGTGTTAATTCCTTCTCTAGTCTCATACACTAGCACAATATCATCTGCAAAAAACATACACCATGGCACGTCATCCTGAATATTTATCGTCAACTCGTCCATAACTAAAGCAAAAAGATAAGGACTTAAGATAGATCCTTGGTGTAATCCTACAGTGATAGGAAATTCATTTGTCTCTCCAACTGGCAATCTAATAGTGGTCACCACCCCTTCATACATGTTCCTAATCACATCAATGTAACCTTTTTTTCTTACATCCCTAATCACTTACATACCTAATATTTGGATTTAATACATATCACCTCCTGACATTTGGAAAATTATACTGATCCCCTATCATTGTAATTATTTAGACAGAATGAAAATATTGAACTCATGCACACTCTATTTTCTCGCTTTACTTTACTTCTTTCGTTTTTTTTTTTTCTTTCCTTTGCTTTACTCTTTTTTTTCGCAATATAATTTTTTCTATTTTTCTACTAAGAGTTGTTGCATTTTATATAAACAAAGGAGTTTTTTAAATAAAACTATTAACTACAAGGATGAGAATGTAATTTTCAAAACGTCAGGAAGTGAGATGTAATTGAACGAAATCTCAGAGGGTGTCAGTGTAATTTATCCAAAAAAAATACATACAACTCGTTTGGTTTTGGTTTTCAAAAAAAACTTTTCAAAAAATTCTAATTTTTTATTTTTGTATTTTTGTGTATTTATTAATTTTTTAAAATATTTTACTATTTAGATACATCTAAGTAAGATATATCTAAAAGAGTGAAAAAATTGCTTAAAATTTTAAAAATATTCCCTAAAAACAAAAACACGCGAAAAATAAAAAAAAACTCAATTTTAAAAAAATTAAATTCAGAAAACTGAAACCAAACAAACTAATTGTTTTTTGCTTCCACAAAAATAAATGGCCAAACATATGTTGGGCCTTGAACCAACTTATAGACATTTTAGATAAGGGTACGAAGCACGAACCATGTATCGCAAGTTTGCAACAGTGAGTCCAAATCCTATGGGTGGGCTCTGCCTAAAACCCAACTTTGTTTTGGTAATGATAAGACATATGGCCAACTCTTTAGCAAAGCATCATCATCAATTATTTATTTATTTATTTTTTTTATTTTTTTTGATTGGCAAACATCAGAATCAAACATTTTAATTCATTTGGATTAAATAGATTATTTTTGGTAGAATCCATGAAAATGTCCTTCAACCATTTATCCAAACCATATATTCATGAAAATTAATCAATGTCACACCTCATATTTGTGGGGGTCATTGGCCTTGACGAATTTAGTGGTGCAATTTATTCCAAAATGCAGAGGAATTTGTCCAAATCTTAGCTTAAGCCCGACTTTTGCTCAGAGCTCAAATTTAAGGATTGCCCAAATTCAAACACAAAAAATTATCTTTGATAGTTCTAAGTTTATGTATTTTACTTTTTGAAAATAAAAAAGAAAAAAAAAATCTCAAAAATACAAACTAACCATAATAGGAAATTAATTTGAGCTACGTATATCAAACAATAAAATACATTGCATTATTAATCCAAATGGTAATAAAATAATATGTA